TGTGAGGAAATCTGCCAAAGAATATAGGTAGACAGTAAAGCTTGCATCAGCTCCAGGCTGAAGAGGAAGTTGTGCCTGAAGGTTCTCCTGGCTCCACTGGAACACCTGTTCCTGTGTCAAGGGCTCCAGTGTGGAGTGCACTGATACCTCCACCATTTCTATAGGCAGATCGCCCACATTGCTTAGTGTCACACTGCACTCAGCACTGCAACATTTTAATCACCAATCTAGTATGTTGGGTCTATGAATAAATTGGTTTAAATAAACATACAGATGAATGCAACTGTCCTTTATCATAACATCTTGTCCTTCTGGGTTCTCTACCTTAACCTCAGTCTCCCCAAAGATGATTTATTTAACATTTTCAAAGAAATATTACTGTTACCCGTGCAATACATGTCTGTACCACTGTATCCATAATTTCTTGAACTTCTCATTCAGTGTTTTTAATTTCAGAATTCATAACTTTTTGTTAATCCCTTAAAACTCACCTACAATGCTGTTAATTTTAAAAATAAAATTCACAGCAATGACTTAATTTTGTACCCAGGAGTGAAGAAGGGTTTGTAAATTTTAATTACATTTCTTCAGTTTGATCCCAAATGTGTGATAATAAATAACCCAATCAGTTTGGTGTCTTTTACATACAATAATTAACCCATTTTATGAATATTTGTATTTCATACCTTTCTCCAGCATATAAGGTTATGTTTGTACTCATCACCACAGTGAGTGTCTCTCCCAGAGAACCTGAAGAAGCACTTTTTGGTAGAGATGTTAACACCTGCGTGAATAAAATGATATTAGCATGTCATATTTGTCCCAACAAACATGTAGCACATACATTTTTTAGCTAAAGTAGATATATTCATGAATGGCTGGTTATTTTATGGTTCTGTATAAGATTCTGGGATTATGTAGAGTGGCATAATTATGATGATGATAAAAGGGATACAGTGTCCACGATGAGGGGGAGGAATTAGGGAGAAAATGGACATGAGAAGTAATTTAAGATACTACCTTTACATTAAGCTGGAAGAACTGAGAAATACCATTACATTCACAGAAAATGATCACTGAAAATGTACTACAGTAAAATAATGTACCTGCATTTTAGGAAGGGCAGGTATAACATCAACTGAATACAGAGGGTGTGGAAACCCACCAATATGACGTAACCTGCAGTTAGATTTGACACCTAATGTATGAGTTGAATAACCTGGAAAAAAAAAATGAAAATTAATATTATATCGCTAGCATAAAAGCCCAGTGTAATTCAACAGGTAATGACTTATCTCATATCTTCATCACTCACCCCAATTCTTACTTCCTTTATATTCTTAACTTATTTCTCTCATATTCCTTTTCCATCTATTGCAACTTAGAACGATTAAACATATCCTACATTATTTCAATATATTCATCATCCATATCAGAAGTACTTCTAAAAGCTGCTGAATACTAACCTTATTTGTACAAATAGAACATTTTCTACCTAATATCATTACCAAGGACTTTTAATATCAGCTGTTTCACCATGTTATGTGCATGTATGCCAGGGAAAATTTGCTGTAAGGTCACAACAGGCAATAATCCAGAACCTTATCATCTGAAATGTAAATACTACCACTCTTCTAAATTATTTTGGTACAGAGATTAAAGGACTGGGAGATGGTGAATATGAACTTTCACCAAAGTGATGATTAGGTATGTAAAATCACCATTTGCTTAGTAAAACTGATAACTATATACATACACAGCCTAAAAGTTTATATGTTTGACAAACTGACAACAAAGTACCCATGAGATAAATTATCCTAATGAAAGGATTTGGACTTCATATGTTAAATAAAACACAATATTATAACTTACCCAAGACTTCTAACTCTCCAATTTCTTTAGGTGTTCCAGACAAAATTACTGGGTGTGGACCTGATTCTGGTGGTAATGACAGTGAAACAGGTACGCTCTCAAAAACTACCCCACTTGTAAGAAGACGCTGCAACAAAGTTCCTAAATAAACTGATGTTAACAGTTTGTTAAAGAACAGTTCAAATTTGACCTGGAATTTAGTTTCTCAATATTTCTGTTGGCTGTGAAACAAAAATAAAACTCTATCCTACAGGAATGAGAAAAATATGAACATTTAGAAGGAAGAGTACATTGGAAAAACCACCTGAAAGAGTTCAGATGATTTACTGACATAATATGATCAGAATTGCACAAAAAATATTAACTAGCTCTATATTACTGGCTAATATGATTATTTTATGCTCAAAATCTTACTCTTAACATAAATTTCCTGTAACAAAAATTAAAAAAATTAAATTATTAACAGCCATCATTAGTCGGAAGTCACCACTTGGCAACTTTATTTAATACACAGAAAAGCGACTCACCATATTCAATACTTTCAGTTCAAATGGCAATGGGTTATACAACTCCATGGCTACCTCACACACATCTCCCTCCACCCAAAAGTAATCTGAAATACATGTTCAGTTTTAAGAATCGATATTTACATACTAGATAGGTGTGATGGTAAATTTTTATTTATAAATATTTAACAACCTATAATGGGTTGAGATTTTTATCTTAGAACTCCATTTTCAGGAAAGTAGTGAAAAAGGAATGCACAGCAAAAGGGATAAGGCTATCCACTAAGGTCACACACATTCCTCTCATCATATACCTGCTGCCATCAATGTGATAAACAGATGATGTATAGAAGAAAACAACATTTGCACAATTAAAAAATACCCATTTTACTGCTTGTCACAACAGTTTTTCTTTCCAAGGAGCCAAAATGAATTGGAGTAAACAAGAATGGCCCCGAGTCCTCCTTTACTTTCTCAATCTTCTGTGGCCGTAGCTGAGGCTCAAGATCCCGCAGTACAAAACTCCTGTAGGAAACAGACACATTTCAGAAAAAAACATCAAATTACATTTTCGAAAATATGGTAAAGTAATATGATATGTGCAAGCAAGGACTGATAATTCATCAGCCCAAGGCTCAACAGCATGTGGATAACAATTGATACCAGTTCAATCACACACACTGTACAGATGCGGTAGGCACCCTGCATTATATATGGGAGGTAACCTGGTTCATATCTTAATAGGAACACCATATACTCCAACTAAGATTTCTCATATTTTTTATTAGTCCATTCACACAACCTTAAAGAGGCTATGCCTGCTTCCTTCTACACACTTTCAATTCAACATTTGTAATTATAATATTTTTCTCATTCAATGCAATATACTTGGAAAAAATGTCATTAAACACAAACATAACATAAAATAAGAAGATAATGGACAGAAACGTTTTGGAGCTTAAAAGAACAAAAAACAGTCACACTGAATGACAATAACACTAAATATTTTGTACACACTGTACTATCGAAACATATAGAGAAAAGAGGGAAGTATTGTTACCATATCTGTGGTAAGTTAGTAAGGTTTGCCGGTGGTATGACGACACCAGAGTTCAGAACTAAGGGCACAGGTGCTCCTTCACACTGGGCTGCCAACACTTGCAGCTGTAATGCCAAATCTCGCTGTTCTGCAGGCAAAAGATGATCCCACATGGTCTGCAGCAAGAATGTCATGTGTCGTGTGGCCAGAGCCGAGTGACCCATACGTCTTGCAGCCACCACCAGCTCTTGTAACAACTGAATTTGCAGTGCAGGCCAACCTTGCAACCCATCTGCAATATTACTTATGGTTACATAACTTCTACATATCCAAAATCAAGCAATGTTTCAGAGGTGCTTACAGCCTCCATCATCAGGGCATTGTCCTGAAACACTGACCAACTTCTTTGAACCCTTGCACTGCAATTTACATACACTGTACTCTGATGGCATAGTTAAAAGGAATTTAAATACTATGTAAAATGTTTGGCAAAACAGCACACACTTTAATTTAATAGTACATGATATTACAATAATATTTTCATCAAATGGAAAATTTCTCAAGAAGTCCTGAAGAACTGAGCTGTGTATCTTCAACCTTTAACTAATTCCACAGAGTAGGTCTAATAGTTGCTCAGAGATTCAAGAATTTTCTTGCCTTTCATGGCACCCAAAGGTTCACAAAGGGCTATTGAAGGTCTTTCCCCAGTCAGATTAATCCAGAACACATCCTCACACCATATTCCTGTAAGATTCATTTTAAAACCTACACCTGGGTCTTTCAAGTGGTTTCTTTCCACCTAGTTTTCTAAATGTTATATACATTTCTCATCTCTCTTATCTGTGCTACATGCCCTGCCAATTTAATTATTCTTGATCTGGCAGAATGTACAAATTATGAAGCTTCTCAGTAGGATTTCAGGTTGTCACGATGATGAGTACAAAGATGGCAATCTTCTGGATTGTAGCACTGTGTAATCTGGTAGAAGTTTACCAGCATTTCAGAGGTCCTTTATGCCTGATGACAGAGACATCAAGAAGTTTAATGGCATTTCAGAGGTCCTTGCTGCCTCCATTATCAGATTAGCAAGGACCTCTGAAACGTTGGTGAACTTGTACCAGACTACAAGGCATAACAACCCAGAAGATGATAATCTTTATTATGAAGCTTCTCATTATGAAATTTATGCCAGATTTCTGTCACTTCATCTCTCTAAGGCACAAATATTCTCCTCAGCACATTCTTTTCAACTGTATTTAAGCACTTATGCCTTTCTTACTGTGAGATACATCTGAAAAGATACCTATGACATGTGTTTCAATTAAGATTCAAACCTTTGGGAAATTCTGTGGGATCCAAAAGCAACTTGTGCCCAGACAGTGCCTGTAACATCAACTGGTAACACTGAGCCCAGTTGGGTTGAGGATTCTGAGCGGACACATAACGAGTGGCAGCCAGACGTCTACAAAAAGACGCCTTGCGATGAAACCCAATCTGAGTATAGAGATCTGATAAACTTGTGAAGCGCTGTATCTGTAATGGAGTGATACAATTTAGCAATAACAATATTAACCAAACTACTGAAAGTCTTAAATATTAAATTATATTCCTGATCTAAAACAGTAGTAGTATTATAATCAAAACTGTAAACAGTAATTAGTGAAATCTCACTTAATGATTTTGAACAAGTACTTCACAGAACCATGCAATTTTTAATATGGTAAGATCATTTTTGTTTAATTACAAACAATCTGTTAATGTACCATAATACCTTATAAGTTTTGTGCTCAAAGTGTAATAAGGCACCAACACAGAATTTGTAAGTACTAGTCGCAGCCATTATTTGATTATTTATGGTGAGTAAATTAATGGAGGGCATATCATGTATTATTTGAGGTTTTCACAGCAGTAGTCTGAAGGTGGCTGTCTTCTGGGTTGTTGTGCCATGTAGTCTGTTTACCTTCTCTAGTTCACTAAGAGTCAGGTTAATGAAGATCACATTCTGCAGAAATGTTGATGCCTGCAGCGTGCATCCCTGTTCCACAGCAATGCGTGCTGCCTTGAAGCATGCTTCCATTTCAATTATTCCAGCATTCAAGTACTGTAATCAATGAATGTGTTGCCATTACCAAACCACAATATAGTCTAAAGGTTATAAGAACAACTCTTATTACTTGAATTAAATGAAAATTTCTACAATTCATTTCACAAAATTCTAGGTTTCAGAATTCTTTCCTTTTCTTTGAATTCAGTTTGAGCAAAACTCTTATCACAACATGATGGATGGCTGTGTCATGATAATATTTTCTATGCAAACTTAATTTTTCTCTGTCTTCAGTTTCCTTACCAGGGTTAAACAAATGATTAATTTTCGACTCATATAAGACACTGCACTCATAATTTAAAGTTACAATGAGATGTACAACTTACTTTACTATAGTGGATAATTGCTTCACGATATCGTTTAGGAATATCTTCTGGTGATAAAACATTCTGAATTTCCTGCTGTACTTCTGTTGGTGACATGTCACTTGGTAATGAATTTGTGGAAATTGAGCTACTCCTAAAAAGAAAAGTTTTGTTACCTTAAAAACAAAAAAATAAATTCTGTAGTAACATTCTGAGAATTTAAAATGTAAACAGTACTATCCTTCAAAACAGACAATTTACATCTAAGTGAGAAGTGAAAAAAGGATCTTCCATTCTTTTCTCTCCTATTATCAGCACTCCTGTATATTCCCTTTCTTTTCTTATTCTCTTTTGTTATTCTGCCCCAACTGGATCTCTCTACCTAGTCATTCTTCTTCCCAGTAGTCATTTATTTGACAGCTTCATTCATAAGCTTTGAGATACCACTATCAGTTACAGCTAAATGCTGAAATGGTATGGGTTGATGTAAATTACAGTAAGTTGAATTCTAAGCCTCATTTCCACCTTGAATACTTAGGTTAGAAGCCCACCCTGAATTCTTTCATTTTAATGCTCCAACAGGTTTATCCTTTTTGTTACCTGTTTCACTGTTATGAAATAAAAACTTCTGTTTCATGAAGAACCAAGCTGTGTATTACACTGTTCCATTAGGTATACAAAATAGTGCAGTATCAATTTCATTTAGTCTATCCACAGACTTAAAAACATCTTTAAAAAGATTACAGTCTTAGATATAAAATATAACTTTTGAAAGCAAAAACAATATCTAAACAGAAATCAGTCAGTGTTTTGAATAAGGCAACTTTAATGCCAGGGAAAGTGTCCCCAATAGTGACTGGAGAAAAAACTGGGTGATGACTGGATGTAAAGAAAAATTCCCTAGTTCTACAGATAATCCAATCCACAAGCAGTCATTAAACTGATTGATATAATATTACACTTTGAAATGCTGAAATGTGGGTAAAAACAGACAACTGTATGACATTTTATGTTAACAACAAAATGATTAAAACTGTGTATAACACAATACTTATCATGCCAGAAGTTTTTAATCATCCACAATTAAAATAAAAATTCAACAACCCTCCACAATTAAAATAAAAATTCAACAACAACCCCTCCCCCCATTGTGATGTAGAGGTACAAGAAGCCTACATGAATACATGCTAAACTGTACTGGATGTGAAAAATTGAGCTTACAAATAGTGTTCCTCAAATTATTGGAAATGCACATTTCTGGCTTTGTATAATAATGATTTCTCACTTGCACAGGTTATACAATGTTACACTGGATAAGAAAAATCTTAAAAATGTCAATTAAACTCTCCATGGAGAATCAAATCTTGAATCTTCCTGAATATGATTCAGAAATGCAAACCATTCAACTGAAAATAGTCAGTTATTATAAACATATTCAGAGTATTGACTTGTAGATCATATTTAAATACAATAAGCAACAACAATATAAAGCAAATCAAAATACCTCTGCTTTCCTGGACTTCCTTCTTGTAGTGATGCATTGCGCTGTAGTGGAAAGCTCCTACTCAAATTTGGATACAGCAAAACCACAGAAGCTGCACACAGCCCTTCATATGCACCACCAAGCCACAGCCAATCACCAACTGCCTTCAAGATATCAATAGCAGAACTATAGTAACTAAGCGCTTCTGTTGCCAGGCCTGCCTGCAGTGACAAGTCCCCTAGATGTTTGGTCATGCGTCCCACACAACGTTTTCGATTGCTGCGAGATTCCAAATCCAGACCAACAAAGTCTTTTCTTTCAAAAGGAGCAAGAAGCAAACTGACACGTTCCACCTTCTCCCTACTGCGTTCAAGTCTTTTTGATTCCAGAACCCAAAATAGGGAACACAGAAATTCAGAGATTTGGTCTTCCAACCCAACACAAGCTTCACAGTCTTCATAAAAGAGAGCACGTGTTTTAAAATTTGAAGGCGTTGAAAGTACATTTGGTTCACTAGGACTCGTATCAGCTGGTGGACCAAATAACACACACCTCGAATCAAACAGAGTTGAGGAATATTTTACTTTCAAAGATTCATGCACACGACACAATTCATTCAGTTCCTTGTCATATTTTTCTGCAAGAAATAAAAAAAGTAATGTATTCTCACTTCCACACAAATCAGACTACCACATACAGATGTGTACTTATTCTTCAATGCCAATTTTCTATAGGTATGAAACTTAAATTTCTTTTGTAAGACATGAATGTTAGAAAATTTTCTTGGGTGATTAGCCATGTAAATGTTGAGTCAAATACCAAAGTTTTGAAGACTAGCTCTGTCTCCATCTTCAGGGTTAAGTCTGAGGAATGAGCAAAAATGCTGATATGTATATCAGTCAGTCTTAGGAGATCCATAACAGCCAAATGATACAATGTTGTTTGGATGGAACTGGCTCAGGACTGGGTTCAGCAACAGAATTTTGGTTTGGTATTGCTGAACTTTAGATCCCAATTTAATAAATGATTAAGAAATTTACAAGACATTTACAAATTGAATATCAACATCATCATCATCAAATTGTCAAAAGTTTACATGATTACTGATGTGCTGTTATGAATATGAAATACTTTTTACTAAACAATGATCATTACATTTCAACAATTTAATTTCTTCTTCAATTATAACTGAAGACAGTATCTAATCTGAATGACTTGTTTGCTTCCAATCTTATTGCAAACAATATTTAGCAACAGTTTAAGCAATACACATTACAATTTTCAAATGAAGTGAGCAAAATATATTTTTAACTGAAATAAATAAATAAATATGTTCCACTGATAGATTTCACAGAATGGTAAATAAAGTAAAGAAACATATGTAGTGAACATCCTTAAATACTTTGCTCAGTGTATAAAATTGTTCATCCTATGTTAGTCTCAACTTCCTTTTGCTTTACTTAATGACTGTTAGGAAGCATGAAAGTAGAAATAACAGGATAATCATGAATGTGAAAATGATGGACAAGACAGTAAATGTAGCCTCTTTAAGGTACCATCTTGATATGTGCTAACAGAGACAGGAAAATTATATAAATGCCACAGCCAGAACAGTTAAATGTCCTCTTCTCTTGCTGTCACTGCTTGCATACCTCATCCTGTAAAGTGTTAACTGTTGTTACAACTATTCATACTAATTCAAATATCATTCCTTACCAACAGAAATTAGTCCCAGCAAACGGCGATGTGTCTGGTAGTCTCCCCAGTCATTATTCTCTACAGGATATTCTTTTATGTAGCGAGCTGATACTTCTCGAGACACTCCCACTGAGTCAACTACCTTGACATGGTTCACCCGAGACAAACGTTCATAAACACGACTAAAGTTCTTCTGTTTTAACTGATTTCCTGCAGCATACAAACATTATTTGTAAGGTTCATTGCAATGTATATATCCAGTGCATACTACAGCAAGGTGAACCACAGGAAAATGCATCATTTACCAACATGTTTCACAAGTAGCAATACAGCAGCATGATCATGGGCAGTCTGTTCATAATCTGGATGGGACATGCTTGTGTCTGGCGCTGGGCTTGATAGAATCACACTCACAGACGATCTCATTGGAATTTTCTCATCTGAAACTGTACAGACATAATAAAATAAATATCAAATAGGAAATAATTAATGGCCATAATAAACCATCTTTCTTGAATGTAGTTGTATGGATTAATATTTGAAGAAAAACAAATTCACATAAAAACCAAAAGACAAAGCCATGCTGTGCATAGCAGGCAGATTCTTTGCATATTTTTTAAAACACTCATATGTCACCAGCACACCTACAACTAGTATGACAAATGAATGTATACGGTGGTTTCGTAATTTCTTATCACGTGATGAAAGTTGATAAGCTGCACAGCTCTCCCCTGCCTTGTCATCTCCCTTCAGACACCGAAGTACTGATAAAAAAAGTCATGAATGTCTTCAAGGAAAACAGCTCTCCCTGCTCAGAGCAGCAGTACAAACATTCCCACATGAAAGAACTAAGTTTCTGCATTTTCATAAAATATTATATGTGGAGTCCTTCCTAAATGCATCAGTCAACTATAATTCTGATGCAGCTAGCTAACAGACTTAGAGACATATCCAAACAATCAACAGTCTACCATCAAGTCCCAGAAGACTTGAATAAAGGGCACAATTAAAAATGTACCTTAATTCACACTCCTTTTATCCTGTTGAGCAATTTCTTTGTAAAGATGTTTTGTATTTACACAGCATTACTTACCTACTGTACACATATGGATTTAGCATAACATTCGAACAGTTTGTGTGAAAGCTTTAATTTTAAATCTTTACGGCATTTTGAATATGTATTTGTCTTAACTTTTAAGGAATGCAACCTATTGCATGTTGATCATAAAGTTGACATTCTGTGTACATAACAATTTTGAATTATAGTTTCAATGTTAATTAAGATCCACTACATATTTCAAACTAAACTGAACATCTTCATGTTGGTTCCCTTTGTTTGCAACGAATAGATGTGAATGATAAATTGTACATATATTTGAAACATATAACATTCACATGGATCTGTGTGATTGTTTTACAAGTATATTCATAATAGGTGCCTGGAAACTTAAGAAGTTTGACCTAGGGGGGAGGAAGAGAATTCAATATGTTATAATAAATACTAAATATTTCCAAGTACTTATTTATAAGGATGTTACAGAACCTATTTCTTTCCCTTTTACACTTCAGTGGTACTCTGAATGTCAGCATAATCTGTGCTGAGAGTATGCAGATCTAATGAAATAACAATACTATACTACAAGCCAGATGAAAGCTAATAAGGATTACATAGTCTTTTCAGTTTTACAATTATAATGAAAGCAACAAAAGGAATATAAGGCAAATAAGTTTCAAATAACTTAAATAAAGGAACACAATACATCAATCCTGTTTTCAGGACCATACATCACAAAGAAAAGCGGTACAATGCCTATAAATATACTACTTCTAATCTACTAATTATCTAATTACTACTGAGTTAAAAGAAAAAAATGTATAACAGCAAAACTCTTGAATTTGCTTTTGTGAACATTTCAAAATTTGGTTGTTAAACCTGTTTGTTCCTCTTGTACAATTCTTGGCAAAATTGCTAAGCCCCTTTGTTGTAACAGGATGGATATATTTAATAGTGTTCCGTCCATTGTATTTTAGATATATACGTCCTGCATACGGTCATGTTTCGACGATACATCAATCAATCACGATTCTGTCATCTACAGCTGTGTCGTAATACGCCATAATGTACGTTGAACGAGAGTGGAGCGAGAGAGAGTGAGAGCAATGGATATTAAGCACCATGGTGAAACATAGGCCAACTGAAACTGATAAAATGCAATTATTTGATTGTAGGGGCCGCAGTGAGAGTTATTTTGTAGTCAATTTCTTTTTCTGTTTCTGTCGACATAGTGTAGCTATTCTGAATAAAAATATGGCCCTTCGTGTTCGCTATTAAGAATTCCCAATCTTTACTATAAAAATTTGTGATTCCTCGTTGTCGTCAATATATTATGTCATCAACAATGTCAACACATATTTGTTTACTCGGCATTGTTGTGTTCCACAACAATGCCGTGTACAACACAACAATGCAGAGTAAACAAATAACGCTTCACAACAAAGAAATCAAAAACTATCAACCCAGTTGCATTATCACTGCTCCAGAAGCAGCACATCGCATTCTTGAATATTGACTGACACTTGGCCTAAACCATCAGAAAAGTGAAAGAAGAAGTTATCGAGTATTTGAAGTACCAACTCCTACAAGGTAAACTGATACTCATTCGATATATTACGATTACGAAAGTATTATTTAAACTGACTTTTGATCGATTTTAAGACGAAGATTTGCAGGGGTGGGGCTGGACGTAAGTAGTTGACTGAACAAGAACTGTTGGTCTCTGAACAGCGACGTAAAGAACTACAACATCAGACATATTTAAGAAATAAAGAAAAGCGAAGTAAAACTTACATTGATAAACGTAGAAAAACTTATTCAATAAGAAATTTACATTCCATAGATCCTTCTTAGGTTTAAGTCAAGGATATAGAATCGGTCATAAAACAAATACAATACACGTTTCTAGTACAAATATAAATGCATAGTTATAAGAGCTATTTACAGATTTTTGGAACTACAGTATTATAGCAAAATAATCATCTTATACTCTGCGCAAGGAGTGAGATACTAGTTTAATTCTGGGTAAAAAAAAATTTATATCGTGATTTAAAATTTTGATAGTATGTGGAAGGTTATTGAATAACTTAATTTCAATATAGTAAACCCCTTTATGAAATTTACGGAGGTTAAAATTTGGCTTCCGTAGATGTTAAGTTAGGTAAAGATAGGTTGGGGTTGGGTTAGATTAAGGTAATAATTACAAAGGATTAGGATGAGTTTTGGATTAGGTTAGGTTAAGATTTGTTAAGTAAGGTTAGGTTATGTTTAGTTAAGTCAGGTAAGTTAAGGGTACGTTATATAATGTTTTACGATGGGTTGGGTTGTCCTGGAGAATTTCTATCGTGTTCATTGGATGGTTGTGGGGATGTCCTGGAAAATTCCTGAAAAATTCCTAAAAAATCCTAGAGTAGTGTTGTAGAAGTCCTGGAGACGTTATTGGGAATGTTTTTTCTCATGGAGTATTGCTCGGGGAAATCCTTGAGAAGTCCTGAAAGGTTATTTGGAAGTCCTTAAGCGATGGTGGGTCTGATCCTATGCGAGTCGGTTACTTTGGATTCGTTTAAGTTTGATTGGGATAAGTTATATTGGATTAGGTTCCGTTTTGTGTTAAGTTAGGTTAAGTTAAGTTTGGTTAGGCTACGTTAAGTATGATTTTGAGGAAGACACTTATAGCAAACCGTGTTTACCAAATATCATAAAAATCTGTAAATAACATTCGTTGTTTAATTTGTTGAATCGTCCATCACAGGACAGTATTTAGTTAGTTATGTTATTATTTCGTTGTATGTAATTATTTTGTTCTGATATCGTTACCCAAGTGTGATTCTTATGGTCACACAAGAAATTTTAATCTAGGTATTTTAACGTCGTGTGCGTCCTCATGCGGTCATTTTCATATGACAAATTAATACGTACGAAAACCACTGCCACTATCTACTATATGAGGAATTTTTTTTTTGCAATTTACTCTTTAGGTTTTCTCACCGCGTTACATTGTATTGCTATGTATATTTGCCGTCTTATGCACATTTATACTCTTTGGTATCATAATTCCCTAAACAATGTAATGGTGGGCAACTTTATATTAATTTGGACATAAGGAAGCTTTTTTTTTCTTTTTAATCCTGGCAAGTGACACATACTTCAAAGTGCAACTTTATGCATTTGCTGTTTGAAACAGTAGACATTATTAACGCATGACAAATACACTCATTGAATTATCTAGGACGACAAAGTGCCTGTAAATTTAATGCGAGAGTTGTGTCAAGGGAAGAAGGAATGTATGTTGTTTATTTGTTATTTATTAGTGACATTATGGAAGTAAGAGTTGTACCTTGAACTAGGCTATAACTGCTACATTAAAATTATTCTTATCTCTTCTTTCATCACTTAGTCAATTTTGTGTCAGAAGTGCTTTGCAGAACGTTCAGCATGTTACAAGTATTTTTACCCTTTTTATATTTTTGTTTCAGATGTCACCAAACTGGACGAAGGAGTTTAAAATTATATGTCAACGTTTGCTTTTCCGCTTAGTGGAAATATTGTCAAATGTTTTGTTTTGGGTGGTGTACCATGGCCCAGGAGAGAAGATGCCCCCCATTGAGAATCTCTTGCTGCTTGATACTGCAACCGCTATTGCCCATAAGATCCGGACACAGAAAGTAAGTTTGTAACAGGCTTTCTGGTACAGGTTACTCCCAAAGACTAGTAAGTATTCATTTGTTCAAGAAATTCACTGTTTAGAAGAAATATAATATTTTGTTACAAGAAACAGGATAGGGTAATTTTATAAATTTTAAGAATGCTTTGTTATTTTTATATTTCATTGCTACAGGTGTTATTTAAAAGTTGTGTATAACATTTTTGTGTTTTAGTAAAAGTGGCCAGGGTTTATAACAAATCAAAAGGTGCACTTAAATGGAAGGTATGCAGGATATGAAATACAGTGTGTTTACTGATAAAGTTGAATGTAACTGTCACTTGCTGGCTTTCAGTAGGAACTGCAGGACTCACCACAAGCAGTGCAGGATTTTCCCAATATGAGAAGTATTGCTCTATAAAAACAATAAAATCAACATACCTATCTTATAGTAGTTCTTGCCTGGAACCAAGAAGCGACAGTTGCAGTTAACTTTATCATTGAATCCAGTGTAGTATGAATAGCAGAGAGAGAATCATCACTGTCTAATGTTTGCTTCCAAATGACCTAAGAGATGGGGATTGATTTTCACTCTTGTATGCATAGTCAAACATCAGTGAATTTAAATGACCAGATGCCTTACACGCATAAATACTCTTAACTGTTCTGTAGTTATAAACATTTGCAACAGAGGACTGGTATCATGCTGTAAAGATATTGCCTGATTATGTCTGTTGACTGAAATTCCAGGGAACACCCCTGCATCATTTAACTGCTTTATTGTTTTAAGTATTTAAAGTAGGATAGGATCTATTAAAGTGATTCTTATGTTCTGCCAGTAAATTAATCTAACAGAAGTCACATCCTGTTATACTCACAGTGAGCCTTTCCAGGTGGCAGGAATTTAGTGTCAGTAACAGTGAAAGCATTAAATTAGCATTTATTTGCAAGTGCATAAAGTATGAATTTGCATTGTAGAGACAGCACAGTTATAACATGGTAACGTAATGCAACAGTGTTGTGGAATCACATTTTAGTGAAAATGTTTTTTAATGGATGTTTTTGCTTTTCTTCACAGGTGACAAGTGTAGAAGTTTTAGAAACCTTTGTTGCTAGAATAAAGGAAGTGAACCCTATCTTGAACTGTGTTGTAGATGAAAGATTTAGCGAAGCATTAGAAGATGCGCGTAAAGTGGATGAATTCATTCAGTCTGGAGTTAAATCATTACAAGATATTGAAAAAGATACTCCTTTTCTTGGAGTACCTTTCTCTACTAAGGACTGTCTCCAAGTGACAGGTAAGACTGTAAAGCACCAAAGACAAATTTAGTATGACATCACTTAATAGGTTAGCACTGCAGTATTACAGTAAATTTTGGATTTTTCTTTCAGCTTTTCTGACAGATTTATCATGATTTTCCTCAGTCCCTCCAAACATATTTTTCTATAATACCTTATATCAGACCACGACCACTTATTTCCATACCATTTGTATTTTTTTTTAAAAAAATTTCATGCTATTATCCTTTGCTGAATGTGCATCATGGTCCAGCTGACCATGCTTCGTGTTATCATACTGCTAAACCCCCAGATTTGAAGTCCAGCTGGCAGCCCTGTTGTACTGGGATTCAAATCCCATTTTCCTATACACTGAAGGTTAATCTGTGCAGCAAAGCATAATTAAATAAACCAAGAAACAAAATCATGTAATGCTTGATTTTTATTATGTATACTTCATTGTTGATATGAATGTTTCACTGGTTTTGTAGATGACTTTCAATAACTTGTTACCATTGAAGTAACACAGTTTTCTCTTCATATTCTAGGTTTGTCTCATACAGCTGGTCTGTACTGCAGGAGAAATGTTAAGGCCCCACAAGATGCTTATGCTATAGCACGCATGAGGGAAGCAGGAGGAATTCCTTTTGCTATAACAAATGTTTCTGAAGTTTGCATGTGGTGGGAAAGCAATAATACAGTCTATGGGCGCTCAAACAATCCATATAACACAAACCACATAGTTGGAGGCTCTTCAGGAGGGGAGGTAAGGTTTAATTATAGGACAGGTCATAAATGCACAGTGATTTCAGCAATTGTGCTATTTGTTTATGCCTGTAGTTCCTCTCTCAGGATATTCTTCAGTTACTATCTCATACTCTGGATGATCTCTGAGTCTGTCTGAATTTTGTCTCCTTGTGAGGTACTTTTTAATTTAGGGAACAGACAAAAGTCATTAGATGCTAAAGAGGGTATATGAAGTCCCTGGCAAACAAGTGAAAAGCTGTGCTTGGTCAAGTATAACCTTATGGAGAGCTCTAAGAAGGCTAGTACATTGTCAGGCAATATCTGTAGGCTTCTGCTAGTTAAGTGATGATTGATGGGGAAATACTGTAGTAGGTTCTCTGAGAAAATTATGTCACTGCCACTTTGTCACAAATTCAACTTATTTATGCCTGTGTACAGTCCAGGTTAAATAATATTTTTATAAAAGTCTGTTAATTGGTTTGTGTTTATGTTTTTGATTTATAGGGTTGCTTATTGGCTGCAGCTGGTTCACCCTTGGGCATTGGTTCAGATATTGGTGGATCCATCCGCATGCCTTGTTTTTTTAATGGTATATTTGGTCACAAACCCTCCAAAGGTGAGAAAACTTGACATTTAACCCTGTGTATCGGCCCTTTCTAAACCTAGCAGTTAAAGCAGTAACCTACACAAAAGGATTTTCACTTGCAGGCAGTATTTGGGTAACTTATAAAGTGTCTTAATTTCATTTCCACAGTAATACCATCAAAGTAATATGATGTAATGATATTTTAGGGATTGTCTCAAATCAAGGTCAGCATCCATATCCATCTGAGGAACAGGAGGGCTTCTTGGGGGTTGGTCCTATGTGCAGATTTGCTGTTGACCTTTTGCCAACCCTGAGAATCATTGCCGGCAAAAATGCTGACAGACTCCAACTAGATACAAAGGTTGGTAGCAGTATATTTTATCTTCCTGTTGCTTCCAGACCTTAATTTACATGTTCTCTCTTTATGGCAAGTGATATTTCATAATCCAATAATATTTTAACATTTTGAAGTTTAGCTAGCTTGTTATGAAACTTACATGTAGCTTATGGATACTTTTTAAGAAATACAGCTTTTCAAAAAAAAAATAGTGACTCCTAAACTAATCCTCTTATCTACATTATTTAAAGACTGAAATGTAGAGAAATACCCAAGGAACATACAGTATTATTTACTTTTACATAGTTACTGGTTTGTTATAACTATTACTAAAAGATACTTCTTCACACCACATGGTTTGTTAACAGACAGTATTTTGCTGATAATTAAAATATTTGCTCAAATATTTATCGCTGCTATGTAATGTCTCTATCATTATTGTCATAGTTTTTTTCATCCAGACTGGTAGTACTGTCTTAAGAAATTCCTCATTTAATTGATATATTTTCTAGCACTCTTTACTTCAGTCCTCCTGTGTCGTGCCCTCATCTTAATTTTGATATTCGTAGTCTTATATTAAAACCACTAACAGTCCACCATATCTACAAGTGCTCACTGCATAAAACAAAGTGTATCCATTGCTGACTGTCTTTAGACCACCTGTTTATGTTTTATGAGATTCCATTAAGTAAATGTTTCAGGTTGATATCCATAAGATAAAATTCTATTACATGGAGGATGACGGAGGGTCAGCTGTTGTAAGTTCAGTACATCCAGAGATCAAGTTGGCTCTCCGTAAAGCAGTGCTTCATTTGGACAAGGCATATGGTATCAAAGCACAGAAGGTAATAAGTGAAGCAAGTCGGTGCTTACACGCAAATGCTAAAACAGGAGAGTCTGTCTGATGTGTATCCATATGGTTCTTTGTAATATAATGTGGGAACAATTGGCTCAGTATGCATCACACCTTCATTCCTCAATCAGTTGTAACTTTTGTCTTCCCTTTTCTTGGCATCTGATGAATCTAGCATTTCTTGCTTTTCTCTTACTATGCGATCTAAATGTAGAGAATTTATTCATTTGTGGTGGTTATTTTGAGTTTATAATACTTGTTTATTTTGGTTTTCTTCTTTCACAGCTTCATTTTATATATTATAAGTTTATGTTTTGATCAGTAGAGGTTTAAGTCAGGATATTAAAAATGACTGCTTGGATAGGATCATGTTTTCAGTTTGACCTGTTCAGGGAGAGAACGCTGACTGAAGGTAGTGGTATAACTGTAATGTTGTGAATACATAACTATGCACAGGCAGGTTGCTGTATGTTGCAGAAACTATATATCTGGTGTTAATCTCTGTGAAACTTTCTTTGGACCATTAGTCCTTTTCTGTTATGTATATTTTTAATAGGACCTGAAGTATGGCTATCAGCTATCTAGACTGAGATTTTTGTTATTTTCTGTTTTGCCAGCTGTATCTTGAATAGTACCTTCTAATAGAATGTGACCATCTTCTTCAAAATCCTTACCTACAACCATTTATGACGATTTTTAAATCTCATTCCATGTTGTGTATCCTATGTAGATGTATTGTGAAATAGTGCAATAATGAGTCAGACAGTTGAATGTGGTTCACGTCCTCATAGCTTGATTCTGTGACATGCTTTGTAATATTATTCTCTCACCTCATTTTTAATGAATTTCCCTGTCATAATTAAGTATTATTTATTCTTTACTCCATCCAGCCTGCATGTTTGGGCCATAACAATTGTCTTTACCCCACTATCCTAACAATATTATGTAACCTAACAAGATTTTTTCCCTATATAATATCATATATTTATAGGTTCAGGTAAAGAAAATGAAGAATTCAGCTGCCATTTGGTTTGCTAAAATGAAGACAAAGGATGGTCCAGCTTTTTCTGAACACCTTCTAGACTGTAAGGTATGGGTCATTGTTAGATACATTGATGAAGAGAGCTTTCGTTTTAATAGAATTTAATTTAATTTGTTTTCCAAATGTATTATTTGTGATTTAACATACCGTATGGCCTGTGCTCATTTATTGCAGATATAAATATACTGTTGCTAAGCTAGTCACACTAATTTAAATATTTGCTATAAAATATTTAAAATAAAGCTATGGATTTGAATGAGATATAGATTTCATGCCTTGTACAGTAAAAAGTTTTTGATTTGAGCTTCATGTCAAATTTGGGGTTGTGTTGGGATTGATACAAACCAAAACAAATTCACTTGACACAATTTGGTGTAGACTACCAATGCCAGTTATTATACAAATATATTGGTTGTTTCAGAGAAAAAAAATGTGGACAGGCAAACAGGTGGATGTGATCCCCCTCCCCTGCACTTTATGTGTAGAACACATACAGGTTCATTATTAAAATGTACTTTTTCTCACCTGTCCCACAACAGTGGTCATGGATTTGTACTGTAGTTAATTATAAAAGCTGTGTTAATGCTGTCTCAGTAAACCATATAGCAAAATTATAATTATACAGTTACTTTATTTTCTAGGGCTCAGTCAATGTGTACTGGGAGTTACTGAAGTGGTTCATAGGTATGTCCAAGCACACTTTTATTGGTATTACAACAGCGCTAGTTGAAAACTGGGGCATTAAATATGGGTGTGAACACCACAGATACCTAATTGGCCAGTGCAGTCAGCTTTATGAAGAATTACAGGTAAGGCCCTATTTTGTGTTTGTAAAGTATGTCTTATTTTCATGTAGATATGACTATCTTGATTGTGTAAGAGTACCACATTAGGAGTGCTGTGCATGCATTGTACATCAGTGCACAACAGTGGATGGTGCTGGCATGACATGCAATGCACAGCAGTCCTTGCTGGCAGGTTGTATGCCAGTTTGAACCTGTGGACCAAGCATGGCTAAACAAAGACTGATAAACAATTCTCAGTTAAGAATTTTGAGACAGTTTTTAAACTTTCTCCAAGTATCATTAAGTTTCAGGCCACTTCCTTTGAAACAAGGAATTTCCCAAATGTTATTTACAGTCACATGTTGACCCATAATGAATTTGTTTCATGTATATATGTAACATAAATCATTCACCATAAAATATGTAAGGAAGTCAGGTTTTCCCCACTTTATTCCTCTTAGTCCATGGTATAAAGGAAACTAGTTTACATCTGCTGTAAGTTATAAAAGCAAAGCCCATCTGTGTTATTTCTTGTGATTAAAATACTTACAATTGTTGATTATGTCAGCTAGGTCTCAGAGCTCACTGTGTCCCCGACTAGTGAGTGGAAGAGGATGCAGACCTAGGAATTTTTTCTTGGTATAGAAGAAGGCAGGGAACACCAGTAGTAGCAAGATAACTAAGTTTTGTACTTCTCCAAGTAGAACAATAAAAGCAGGTCAATTGGTTATTTGATCATTAACATACTGGAGCAGAATCTCAGGTCTGTGATAAACACAGGAAGTTCCCATTTCATAAAGTTTTAGCACTACAATACCATAATTAGCACAATAATTCTCACTAGTACATCACAGCCAATTCCATCCAGGTTCTGTTTGAGAGTTTAGGAATTAATTTATCATTCTTCCCACTAATGTCAAACCTCAAAAATACTTAACAGATTGAAAGAATTATAAAGGTTCATCCAAAAGAATTACTAGCTTGTAAGTGGCATTCCAGTACTTGTATTGGTAACTTCCGAAACTGGATGGGCTTGGTGTGCGAAGATTTCCTGCAGCACCAGTGTAATGCTTATTCTGCTCTGATTTAGTCTTCACAGCTTCTTTAATTCTTTGAAGCCAAAGCTTATCAAAATAGTCAAGAATTCAGTCCATAACACAAATAAAAAATAAAGAATGTGCTAACAAGGTGAGTTCTGATGAGGTCTCAGAAATAAGTTATAAATGACCCTGCAAAAAGGAAGAGGAACAAAGGTGCTAAATAGCAAGAAAAGGTTCAGAAGTTAAAGGAAATACTTGAGGTTCTCACAGTGGCAAAGATGTTAGTTTGGTCTTTTGGGTTATGATGCTGTGTGGTCTTGCACATAGTTAACTGATGTATTGGAGGAATGTATCAGTTCAGTCTTCAGGGTGGAAGATGGAGACATTGGTAACCACCTACAAGACCGAACAGCATCCAGAAGGCCACAGTCAAGTTGAAGGAAGAATCCGTTAATGACTGTACTCTGACCACTTCCTGATATGCTTGGTATTAGTAGGAAACAGTCTTTTGTAAAAGAGAACTCAGTTTAATAAATTATTTGATTTGTTATTGATAGTTTCTTGGGCTTTTTCTGTCTTGTCAGTGCTGACTGTAATATACAACCATTAATACCCTTTAAGATTTTTTTTTACCTGTTCAATAATAATCAAAAAAATTGTTGGTGTGTACCAGCATTGTAGTCAATATTTTTACTGCAAACCCTTTATTTAATATTTGTATGATTTTTATATTAATGCAATGTTATTTTGGTTTAAAATGACCAAGAAGGACCACAGTTACCAAATATTTGTAGGATTGAACCACTATAAAAGTATTTGATTTACAAATTTTTTGTTATACAGAACTTTCTGGGAACACACCCACTACATAAGTTGGGGTGTATCTGTACTTACATAGTTTATTCATAAAAGTCAGTGATTTATAGTCAAAACTTCAGTGTACTGGAAATAAAAAATCTTTACTGGATGTTTTTCATGAATAATTTAAAGGGGTTTATAGTTATTACAAGTTGTGGAAACTTTTGTTTGTGTAATAACATTCTCATTCTCAGGATATGCTGGGAAGTGATGGTATACTGCTGTATCCAACACACCCAGTTCCAGCACCCTACCACAATGAACCTCTAGTGAAACCGTTCAACTTCTCATATACTGGGATCTTCAATGTCCTGGGACTGCCTGCTACACATTGTCCTTTAGGACTAAATTCACAGGGCCTACCAATTGGAATACAGGTACAAATTGAAGTAGTTGGTAATTAATGATAAGATAATATGAGCAGGTACTGTTACTTGTGGTTATTTTCTGTATCTTTTATTAAGGTGAACTATATATAGAGTTTGTAAATGTAGTCAGATAATAGAATGGGGTCACTTGACCATATTTGCCTGATTTTAATACATACCTCAGTTTTGTAACATTAGTTGTACAAAACATAATGAATAGTACCTGAGTACAGAAACATTTTTTGGAAGTATTTTATTGAAAAAATTGTTGTGCATCAGTTAAAAAAGTTTATACTTGGTAATACACTAACCTAATCTTCACATAAATCTTTGTAGTTGGAATTGCTACTGTTATCAGTAGATTCATCACATTCATTACTTGAACTTCATCTGATTCCTGAAGAATGTTATCACCTATCTCATAGTAGCAAAATTTAATGTGAATAAATATAAGGTGCAGTCAGTCAGCTTTTGAGTGGTTTTGGGGAGGGGAATAACATTTGGGAAAATATTGTATATACTAAAGAATGCTGCTAAATACTCTTTTGACAATAGTGTACAAAAATCCATTCAGGTGAAGTCTTGAACAGTATTACGATGTTGCTGCCAGGTGAAAGATTTGCAACCTACAAGATCTAATCCATAGGAATCTAAAATATACCACATTATAGATGGTGGTCTTCCGAATTGCAGCATACAGCATTTCAGATGTGTGCCAACATTTTGGGTGATCATAGTGCCTCCATCTTCAGTGCTGAAGATGGAGGCACTATGTTTCTTCAAAATGTTGGCACACAACCAAAATGCTACACAGAGAAACAATGCAGCCATGAAAACATGATATCCTCTATTGAGTTTTATTCTTTTACTTTCAGGCAGTTGCCTCACTAAATCAGGATCGCTTGACACTTGCAGTAGCACTTGAAATGGAGAAGGCTTTTGGTGGCTGGGTACCACCATCAATAACAGTGTGATATTTGCATTGTGCCTTGACAAGAATATGTTATGGGATAGTGTAGAAGATGAATAAAAGTTCAGTATGAAACTACCAGAGAAGACCAAGATACTTTGCATTATTTTCATTGCTTTGAAGTGGGCAGAAGGGTTATTTTATATGCTGTTAACTATTTTACTGTAAATCTGATTAATTTTATGCATATCAGAAAATTGGCAAGTTATATTATTACAGTGTTAATTATTGTGAGTACAAGATGCAGACCTATTGATGTGGCACTAGAAAGGTATATGTATATGCATATATTTTTGCCATTTTTAAATTTATGCCTTTGTGAATGTTTCATCATGTACATCATTCTCGTGGTGAAGGGTGTTTAGCCATATCCAATCCTTAAGCTTAAAGGACCAGTTATTGTCAGCTATCTTTTTTATTCATCATATTTACAGATCCCCAGCATGTCTGGGGGATTTCCCTCTGTCTGTAACCTTTGAATATGCATCTTCTTAACATTAAGAAGGATCTTTGGGAGGTCAGTTGTGAGGTCCAGAGGTGGATGAAAGCTCATAATCATGTCCAGTTAAACACTTGCCAGTAGACTCTGGTTTATACTGTCACATTGTGTTTATTTAAGCTCCCTTCTGTTGCTTTCCATTTATTTCTCTGTAGGTTTTCCTACCCAAAGTGGCACAAATCATAAGTTAATGATATAACTCATTGATTTATCATTCTGCAGTCACATGTAAGATTTGAGGTTCTTGTGGTGATGATTTGCGATGGGCTGATCACTCATCCAAGCAATCCTACCAATGTCCAAATAGATCAAATGAATAAATAAAAAACCTCGACACCTGGGGGTATAAGAGGATAAAGATTAAGTAAGTAAAGTAAAGTGGTGATGATGTTCTTTCAGGTTGTAATGCTGTATAGACTCATATGTAGATACCTTTTTGGAGAAAGTATGAAGATGGAGACAGTATGTTTCTCCAGAATGTTGGTATCTGTGACTACATGGTGTCACAACCTAGAACAACGTCATCTTTTTCAAATAAATGTTTATGCTACATGAAGGTTGTCAATTGTAATCTCAAAATTTCATGTCATTACCATATTTCACTTTTAACGCATAAATGAATATTTTAATACAACATTTTTAAGTATGTTTTGTAGCCATGTTAAATTCTACATGCCTAACTAGAATGGCTCATTTTGCTGTGAGAGGAAAGAAGCCATTTTATTGTTTTACATTATACACGTAAGTGTCCTTAAACAAAGTAACAACTTTTTTATGATCTATCTCCAGAAAATTGTGGGACCCTATTGATGGAATTCATTAGAAAGTGAAAGTGCAGTGACTTCCAGTAATATGGTGTTAAAATAATGATGCATAATATTATCATCAGAATATGTTTAATTTTGTAAGTTCTTTTTTACTTCACATGTTGCTTATTTTCCATTTTCACATTTCCTTGTTGTTTGACACTGTATGAGTAGTACCGCTTTATTTATTTTTTTGTTTTCTGCTTTGGTCACAACATGTCATCAGACTTCCATTAATGTTTTTCCTCGTGTGCATTTATTTAAGATCCATGGGTCCTTATTCATTTTGCTTATACAATGTGTGCTTTGCATAATACATAATTATCTTTATTTGATATTAAGCGTTTTGCATGTTCCACATATCTTGCTTGAAAATACCTCCTTGTTTGTCTGATGGATGTTTTCAACATGCAACTCTGTATTATTGTAAAGTGAATTTTGCAGAAGTAAATGTTGTATTTGATAAATAAATATCACAGAAATTGATCAGTACAACTGTATGAATGAAATGAAATTTGTAAACATTTTTTGTGAGCATTTAGCACACATTAGTTTTGCCAGTTTGATAACAGAATTAATTGGGTTTCTTTTGAAATGTATGTTCATATGTATAATAATTAATGCTGTATTTATAATATATGAACTGTATTATCATTCCTCTCAGTTTGCTACAGTGGTGCTTCATTTTATTTTACTGTTAAAACCATTTATAATGTACTGTATTATCATATGTGTGTTCAAATGTGGTCTTCTAGGTTTTGACACCATGTTATCATGTCCATGGTTTCCAGCATTTCAAAGGAACATACTTCCTGCATCTCATACTCTGGAGATAGAGACTGTTTATTTCTCTGAAACACTGGTAACCAGCAAACATGAAAATTTAAAATCCCATATACAGGTTGCATATGTGATACTAATTTTCAAACTCAAGTGGGGAATAGGCTCAAGTTAACGTGTTATTTAAATGATGAAGGAACTACTTCATGTATGCTTTAGATAGCACTGACCATTGCGTCTCAAGACACATGGCCATTTGCTTGTTTTGAATTGTATCTACCCTTGCTTTACTTGTTACTTGTTTTATAAATTATTTGTTAAACAGTTACATGTATACCAAGTTAAAAGAGCAGAAAAGATAATGGTTATTGGTCTTTAAGCAGTTTTGGTCTGCCAAAAACTTGGCCACCGTACCTTCCAAACTTATTCTATATAAACACATTACTTTTTTAATTATTAATTAATTTATTATTCACTGCATGTTTCCAATTGATTCTGCTTTTTTCTATTTGGTGTACATGTAAATATAAATTAACCATAATATTAGTTGTATTTAAGTTGAACTTTGAGGCCTTTTAAAGTAAAGAAATATGCCATTGCACCAAAAACGTATATGTGATCTTATGGGTAACGAGAAATATTACAATATATATATATATATGAATGCTGCATTGGTTCATACTGAATGCTTTTTTCGATAAATATATTTTTGCTATGTAACTTTTCTGCCTGTCTACCTGATGTGTGAGAATACATCTCACATAGAAATGTTGCTTTATTTAACAAATATTTCATACATTAATTATAAAATGAAACACAGCAACATTAGATAGATATATTGACAAATAAATTTACAGGACTGATGAAAAAGTGTGGCAGGGTGATAGAGATAATTTACCAGGTAAACATACCAAAGTAGCCTGGGCATTCTGCACCCAGTCACTTGACTTGCAAAAATTCATTCAAATGCCTTATATTATATGCTCTTAACAAAAATATTGGAAAATTTTAGTAGAACATCCCAATATCAAATTTTATGAAAATCTGTTTAAAGTTTCACACACACAAGTCATTCTGTGCAGACACACACACTGAAAGTAACAGGCACATTTTTGCGATATTTTGTTGTGAATATGCCTAAAAATTGCTAATGCAGACTGACCTGGACATTCATACAGTATGCATTTTGAATGCCTACGTCATATGAGAAATAATGCCATGACCCACATAAGTGTGTAGTCAGAGTCTGAGTCACTTAATGTTATGAATATTCTTCAAAATAGAAGAATGCATAACACTATGGGATATTATTTCCTTTGCAGTGCAATGTGCATCCTACACAATAAAAAAAACAATGTCTCAATTCCAGAATACAAGTGTTTGTACCTTAAACTTATTTTTTCCATTGATTCCATTTTGTACTAATTAGTCGTATGTGGCAGGCAGCATTTTGCCCATTAACTTTTATATGGAGAGTCAGTTGTGATCTGTCAGTCTCTTAGGACCAGCTGCACTGCTATGGAATTTCTCATACTTTAAAACTTCATGTTAATTTTGGTGTTTGAAACATATATATCAAAAACAGTGGGCATTGTGTTGCAATGTATCACTCATTACAAACCTTCAAGAGTCATTAGGATTTCATTATTATGTAGCAAAATATTTTAAAATAATGATTTAAGAAGAAGGTTTGAGGCAGTGTTGGTTGTATGTTTAATATAAGATAATGAACATGTGGTTTCTGTTTATCTAAGTATGATACAAAATTAATTATAGTTGCTTCTTGGTGTACTACATTTAATCAATATTATAGAGAATTCTTACCTCAGAAGATGGCTGTCTTCTGGGTTGTTGTGCCATGTAGTCTGGTAGAAGTTTGCCGACTTCTCAGAGGTCCTTGCTGCCTCCATCATCAGGGCGATGAGTCAAGGATCTCTGAAATGTCGGTAAACTTCTACCAGTCTACACGGCACAACAACCCAGAAGACAGCCATCTTCAGACTCACTGCTGTGGAAACCTCGAATCCCACAATTCTTACCTCTGGTAACCATCAGTTTCTTCTGACCATATTCCTAATGTTTATAGGAATAACACTGGTAAATACAAATAATAAGTAATTATGTTTGTGTGACAGCCATCAGTTAAAGTTTTCAGCATACATTAAATATGAATCTCATGTATTTTCATGTGTTCTCAAATATATTTGTTACCATGTCATTGTTGTTACTGATTCAGTTGAGTAGACAATAAGTTGTTTTGTTGCATTGTATTTATGCCTTATCCAGAAGCATTTATCACCTAAATACCATAATGGCCTTAAAAACCATATGTACAATATTATTTGTAATATAATTTATACTTTAAAAAAATTGTATTTCAGAAATGAGTTGCAAGTACAGCTCACTGAACAAGCAGGCATATTGTTAATGATCCAGACTTATATTTGGGAGGTACCTGGTTCAAATCTGCCATGGATTACTAGCTATCCCATCAGTCTGTCCAAGCAAATGCTAGGATAATACCTTCAAATAGACCAAGACCATCTTCAAATTGTTACTGCTTGCCATTCATGATCATCTTCCCACCTCATTTGATGATATATAAATTATGAAGAACACTATTAAATTACTTAAGAATTCAAATAGGAGTTTTACTTGTATATGTAGTATATGTTTTCCTGTTGTGATGGGATGGACAACCAATAACGGCCCCATTGTTCATCCCCTAGATAATATGGGAGGCGGAAGAGATGTAGCTAAGCAAAGCCATGTAGGGTACAGTACTGTCTTCTTCATGGCCACCAGTGAGGAAGGCTGGTTAAGACAGAAAGAGAAGATGACTCCTAGAGGGCCAGGTGAGGCATGGTCATAGAGCACCATTGCCATATCTGGCCATCATCTGGAGAAGTGGACCATGGCAGAACATGTCATCATCCTGGGCCATCTCATCCTGAATGACTGTAGTATCCTAGCCAAGAAATCCAGAAGACTAGATAATCAGGAAAGCGACAAAGATTGAACTCCATGAACAGTGGAGATGGGTACTTCCTGAGGTGATCATGGAAGTCTTTCATTCACAGTATGAAATAAGAAGAGGTTCTGTCTCAGAAACAAGACATACTTCCTCTTCATCCATTTTCCTTTCTGGGGGTCTGATAAGAACTGCTGCTCTTCCTCTTGACTGAACCTTCCTCTCTTGTGGCCATGTAAAGGGTACTGTTTTATTTTCATACTGGCCGAAACTCAGCTTCATCTATGCAAGTATCTGAATGGGGTGGGTGTTCCTTCAAAATGTTGGTATAAAACCTGATGACTGCATGGAACAACAACCCAGAAACCACAACCTAAACTCATCCCATAGTATGATTCTTGGATAATAATCCAAACACTTTGCCAACAGTGTTAACCAAGAAAGTCTATGAAGATCATGTTCTGTGTTATGACACTGTGTTCTCTTGCAGATGCAGCCAGAAACTTGAATATGGAGGCAGTATATTCCTCTGAAATACTGATAACCACCCACAAGACTACTTGGTGTAATAACACAAGATCAGCATCATCATATTCACCACCATGTAAATATCAAATGTAATACACAAAAGTGAAATAAAAGGTATATCATTTAGAAATATTCAACTTCTGTGAGTGTGTCTTTTACGTTTCCAGTTCAGAAACAGTATACTGCAAATAAATTAATCACTCCATGACAATAAATGTAAATGTATTCTTTGTTTATACCATTACACAACAGAACTGAATGTGACTTCTTTGGACAAAGCCTTCCTATATCACCCTGAAGCAAATACTGCAAAGAAACTTTGGTCAGAATCAAATGTAAAAGTTTCAGTATCTATGTAAGACTTTCTATTAAATATAAGATCTCAGCTCGTTTTGTTGCAACATTATATTGACCAACTTTTCCACATCCTTTTATCTTATTATATTGTGCACAGAAGGCTGCAACGAGATCAACATTGCAGAGAACATGAATGCCACAGTCATATCCATTAACTTGTTGTAATGAGTCTAGTTCTTGGAAATCACCCTTGCCATAACATGACAAGTATTTAAACAGGTTTGAAGCCAGTTGCCATGCTTGCTTGAAGTTACTT